TCCCCCTTGGGGCTCCCAAATGATGCCCCTGGCAGCGTTTTGCGACCATGAGGCTCTCAAGAGATACATGTTGGGGGCGCCAAACGGCAATTCTAGCTGAGACGTCCCACCAAAATCGGCGCGAACGGGCTCGTGAGATCAGCCAGGGTGGCTCCCCCTTGGGGCTCCCAAATGATGCCCCTGGCAGCGTTTTGTGACCATGAGGCTCTCAAGAGATACATGTTGGGGAGGCCAAACGGCAATTCTAGCTGAGACGTCCCACCAAAATCGGCGCGAACGGGCTCGTGAGATCAGCCAGGGTGGCTCCCCCTTGGGGCTCCCAAATGATGCCCCTGGCAGCGTTTTGTGACCATGAGGCTCTCAAGAGATACATGTTGGGGAGGCCAAACGGCAATTCTAGCTGAGACGTCCCGCCAAAATCGGCGCGAACGGGCTCGTGAGATCAGCCAGGGTGGCTCCCCCTTGGGGCTCCCAAATGATGCCCCTGGCAGCGTTTTGTGATCATGAGGCTCTCAAGAGAGACATGTTGGGGAGGCCAAACGGCAATTTTAGCTGAGACGTCCCACCAAAATCGGCGCGAACGGGCTCGTGAGATCAGCCAGGGTGGCTCCCCCTTGGGGCTCCCAAATGATGCCCCTGGCAGCGTTTTGTGACCATGAGGCTCTCAAGAGAGACATGTTGGGGAGGCCAAACGGCAATTTTAGCTGAGACGTCCCACCAAAATCGGCGCGAACGGGCTCGTGATATCAGCCAGGGTGGCTCCCCCTTGGGGCTCCCAAATGATGCCCCTGGCAGCGTTTTGTGATCATGAGAGAGTGTGAGTGAAATCTCTTATCTTGTCTTAGCTTATCTTATATCAACTCATCTTATCGCATCATATCTTGTCTTATCTGATTACTGCATAGGCTGTCTTATCTTATCTATTATCCTATATTGTCATATATCTTATCTTACCTTATCATATCTTGTGCTATCTTATCTTATCTTGTATTATCTTATCTTGTCTTGTCTTATCTGGTGATTATCACTGGGAGGAGGGAGGCGCGAGCGGGAGGAAGGAGGAGCAGTGGGAGGCGTCAGAGTAATAACAAGAACCCAAATCCTTAGGATATGGTGAATAAGACTAATAGTGATAAATGTCGTACTAGTCGTAGTAGTCGTAGCTATAATAGTAGTAGTCGTAGTAGTAGTAATAGTAGTAGTAGTAGTAGTAGTAGTAGTAGTAGTAGTAATAGTAGTAGTAGTAGTAGTAATAATAATAGTAATAGTAGCAGTATGACTAGTTGTAGCTGTAGCAGTAGTAGTAGTAGTAGTAGTAGTAGTAATAGTAGTAGTAGTAGTAGTAGTCGTCGTCGAAGTAGTAGTGATCGTAGTAGTAGTAGTAGTAGTAGTAGTAGTAGTAGTAATCGTCGTGGTAGTAGTAGTAGTAGTAGTAGTAGTAGCAGTAGTAGTATGGGGTAATAATAATAATGGTAGTAGTAGTAATGGTAGTAGTGGTAGCCGGAGTAGCAATCGCAGTCATAGCAACAGTAGAGGTGCTAGCAGTACTAGTAGTAATGGTAGTAGGGGTGGTAGTAGTAGTAGGAGTAGTAGTAGTAGTAGCAGTAGTAGTAGTAGTAGTAGTAGTAGTAGTAGTGGTAGCACAAGTGATATTCGTTATGGTAGTCGTAGCAGTAGTGGTAGTAGTAGTAGTAGTAGTAGTAGCAGTAGTAGTAGTAGTAGTAGTAGTAGTAATGGTCGTAGTAGTAATAGTAATAGTAGTAGTAGTAGTAGTAGTAGTAGTAGTAGTAGTAGTAGTAGTAGTAGTGGTAGTAGTGGTAGTAGTGGTAGTAGTAATAGTCGTAGTCGTAGTAGTGTTAGCAGTAGGAGTCAATACTAGGAATAGTTCTGGTCGTCGCAGTAGCATTTGAAGTCGTAGTAGTAATGGGATTCATATATGTAGTAATAGTGAAAGTGCTAGTCGTAAACATGATATCAGTAGCAGTAGCAGTAGAAGTAGTAGTAGCGGTAGTAGTAGTAGTAGTAGTAGTAGTAGTAGTACTAGTACTAGTACTAAGATTTCTCGTAGTAGTAGTAGTAGTCGCAATCGTAGTCGCAATCGTAGTAGTAGTAGTCGTAGTAGTAGTAGTAGTAGTAGTAGTAGTAGTAGTAGTCGTCGCAGTAGTAGTCGCAGTAGTACTAGTAATAGTAGTAGTAGTAGTAGTAGTAGTAGTAGTAGCGGTAGTAGTAGTAGTAGTAGTAGTAGTAGTAGTAGTAGTAGATGTAGCAGTAGCAGTAATAGTAGTAGTAGTAGTAGTAGTAGTAGTAGTAGTAGTAGTGATAGTAGTAGTAGTGATAGTAGTAGTAGTCGTAGTAGTAGTAGTACTAGTACTAGTAGTCGTAGTAGTAGTCGTAGTCGTAGTAGTAGTAGTAGTAGTAGTAGTAGTAGTAGTAGTAGTGGTGGTAATGATAGTAGTAATAGTAGTAGATGACAAAGGTACTGGTACTAGTAGTGATAGTAGTAATAGTGGTAGTGATAGTGGTAATAGTAGTGGTACTTGCAGTAGTAATACGAATGATAAACAAGGCCTTTGGTGGACCTCCATTGAGGCCACGAACCGTGCGAGGGTGTGCCAACAGCGGGGCCGGTGCGAGATGATGACGATGCTGATGATGATGATGATGATGATGATGGTGATGCTGATGACGATGCTGATGACGAAGGTGATGATGATCCTGATTGCGTTAATGATAATGCTGATGATGCTGCTGACGATCGTGATCGTGATATTGATACTGATGATGATTTGGCGACTCATGGTAATCATATCATATCTGTCTATATGTATGTATACACGTCTGCTCCTTGCCCCTATGATGATGAAAGTCGGCCTCGCCGCCCGCCCACCGAAGAACAAACGTGTTCGCATCGGGGATAATCATGACACAGGGGGGCAGGGGCGGGGCAGGCTGTATTCTCGGGGGTCGTGGGATTGTGTCCTCCACCCTACACGGCGCCATTGAAATCCATTGAACTTTGCCAACTTGATGCCTCAATCTCTCTCCATCATGGGCTGCGATCAGGACTTGTATCCCCTGCCAGCCGTCTAGTGCACTCGAGTAGACCTCACTGAATTCATGGAACTTGGCAAGGGGGGCGGCAGCACCTCTGAGAGCAGCACGAGTGCGAGCAGCAACACGGGCGCTACCAGCGTGACTTCGGTGAGCAGTACGGGTGCGAGCAGCAGCGCGAGTCCTGCCAGCGCGCCTGGGACTATCAGCGCGTCGGTGAACAGCTGGGAGGCAAAACGACAATTTTGGGGGTTGGGGGCTCTATGCCACTCGGGGGGCTGGAGCTTTGAGCCACGGAGCCCCGTTGGGAGGCGTGGAAGGAGTCAAAACCAGAGCCTCTTATAGGGCTCGGGAGCGGGCCGGGAGCATCAGTCACCAAAAGACGACGTCACCCGACCGCACTAGCGGCCACCCTAGGGCGACCATGTGGGGCGAGGACGGATGGGACAAAATTCATGTAATTCATTGGCTTCAACAGGATCAGCAGTAACACCGCGGCGACCAAGAAAACCCTGACCAGTGTGACCAGCATGACACAGGCCAGCATTACGTCGTTGAGCAGCGCGGGTACACATAGCACCAGAAGTTGGAACCAACATCACCACTGATACTACTACTACTACTACTACTACTACTACTGCTACTACTACTACTACTACTACTACTACTACTACTACTACTACTACTACTACTACTACTACTACTACTACTACTACTACTACTACTACTACTACTACTACTACTACTACTACTACTACTACTACTACTACTACTACTACTACTACTACTACTACTACTACTACTACTACTACTACTACTCCTACTCCTACTACTACTCCTACTACTCCTACTCCTACTCCTACTACTACTACTCCTACTACTCCTACTCCTACTACTTACTCCTACTACTACTACTACTACTACTACTACTACTACTACTACTACTACTACTACTACTACTACTACTACTACTACTACTACTACTACTACTACTACTACTACTACTACTACTACTACTACTACTACTACTACTACTACTACTACTACTACTACTACTACTACTACTACTACTACTACTACTACTACTACTACTACTACTACTACTACTACTACTACTACTACTACTACTACTACTACTACTACTACTACTACTACTACTACTACTACTGCTACCAGCACGTCTAGGGCTAGCAACGCGGCGATGTGCAAAACGAGCGCGCGCAGCAGTACGGGTGTTACCATCGAAGACGGGTGCAGCAGCACCACGGCGGCATGGAGCATGCCAGCACGACTGGGACTACGACTTGGGGCTGTTGGGGCAAGGGACTCACTTTTTATCCAGAATCCCCACCACCCCTGGCGCAGTGGGTGCGACGCCAGGGGGAGCGGCCCGTCCGCCCACCTCTCGCGTAACTTCGTCTCTAGCAGGGAGGCGTCGTGACCGAAATCAACCCGAACGTGACCGAAACTGGCGCCCAAAGTTTTCCGGCCGCGCCCGAGTGTGACCGAAATGTGTGGTTCGAAACCCAGGCGATTTACGATTTCGAATACAATTTCGGTCACACTACGTTTTCTTTCATAGCTTCGGGCACGTTTTCGGTTACCGATCTTTTTCGGTCACCTACCTTTTCGGCTGATAAGGGCCTGGTGCCATGACACCTCCCCACCATAGGGGGCGGGGGGTGCGAAGTCCCCATGGACATGGCGGGATGGGCACCGAAGGGTACCGTGAGCCTCTCAAGCACCAGAGGCGGGCACCATGAGCCTACTGAAACCAACGGAGGTACACCATATGTCCTCCACCCAATGCGGCTCCGTTTAACACTCATTGCACTCTCCGACTTGATACTTCAACCTCTCTCCAAGCGCGCAGGCTGGTGCTGGGGCACCTCCGTGGGCCAGCACCAAAGGTCACTCCCAGGAGAGGTCACTCCGACGCGTGACCGAGCCTTGGGCAGGTCGCACAGCTTCCCGAAGTTGCAGGCCGTGAGGCCCCCCGGGAGGCCCAGGGACTTGGAGCCCTCGGCACCGTAGATGTCCTGCACGAGCTTGTCGGCGTGCGAGGCGTCGCCTCCCTCCGCCAGGTCGAGCGCCTCTCCGAATGTCTCCGCAGACGTCAAGGCCCTCGCGAGACCCAAGAACGTACCGCCGCCGCAAGCCGTGCCGCCAACTCGCACGAAGTCGTTGGGCTCCGCGGAATCGACCCGAAGTATCGAGACGCCCGTGCCGAAGCTCACCTGAGCAGTATTCTTTAAAACGGTGACTTACGCCGCAAGGCCATGCGTGTCGAAGGGGTCGGCTGTGGGCCTTGGAGCCTGCTGGTTAAAATCGAATCGGTTACAATAGGACCTAGGACAGAAAAACATCCGTCACGAACATGAGACTCTCCGCTAGCCAACCTGAAGATCACTCGAAGGTGCCCTCCCCCAGGATGCACAAGAGCACCCATCAAGCAAAAATATCATTAGGGCACCCTCCCCGAACCGACCTCGATCTTAGTAAACTTATACCTCGGTCCGACCGTACTCGAGGGCCGTTGCCCATACATCGTCCCTAGAGGTCTCCATATGTACCCGAAATCACAAGAGGTCTCCAGAGCCCTCTGGGGATCTCCACAGGTCCCCAGTGGTCTTGCTCCTCGAGACCCCCTGAGGCCCCAGCATGTCATCGAACCCAGATCGTCGAACCCCGAGCCTCGAAGATGACGACGCCATTGCCATGGCTGATCGACTCCATTTCGGCTGCTGGATTGCGGAATCGTCTGGTCGTGGCCGGCGGCCCATGGGCTGGCGCATCGGTGGTCATGAGCTCAGACTCGGATTCTTCCCACCCCTCCTGTGGTGGACTCACGTTCTGAATGTAGAGCGCTGTTCGCGCATTTCCTCCCGCCTCCTCCCCTCCCTGCCTCCTCCCTCATCGCCTCCTCCGCCTACCTCCTCCTGCATCCTGTGCGCTCCATCGGGGGCTGCGGACTGCGCAACCATCGCCAATTGTGCGGGCTCCTGGGAGACACGGCAGAGTGCAAGGCACTGCAGATCACTTCGAGGCCATGCGAGTGCGTCGGGGGCTGCGAACTGCGCAACCGTCGCCGCGAGGCACGGTGGAGGTGAGGACAGCGCAGATCACTTCTAGACATCGCGGCCCGCTCGGAGGCTGCGAAGCACGCATTTGTCCCCACTTTCGTGAGCTCCTGGGAGGCACGGCGGAGGTGAAGGCCACGAACATCCACTTGAGACCTCGCGGCTCCCTTGGGGGCTGCGATCTGCGCAACCGTCCCCACTTTCGTGGTTCCTTGAGAGGCACTGTGGAGGTGAGGGCAACGCAGACCACTTCGAGACCTCGCGGCTCCCTCAAGTGCTGCGAACTGCGCAACCGTCCCCACTTTCGTGGTCCCCTGGGAGACACGGCGGAGGTGGGGGCAACGAACATCACTTCGAGACCTCGCGGCTCCCTCGGGGGCTGCGAACTGCGCAACCGTCCCCACTTTCGTGGTCCCCTGGGAGGCACGGCGGGAATGAGGGCAACGAACATCACTTCGAGGCCTCGCGGCTCCCTCAGGGGGCTGCGAACTGCGCAACCGTCCCCACTTTCATGGTTCCTTTGGAGGCACGGCGGAGGTGAGGGCAGCGCAGACCACTTCGAGACCTCGCGGCTCCCTCGGGAGCCGCGAACTGTGCAACCGCCACCACTTTCGTGGTCCCCTGATAGGTACGGCGGAGGTGAGGGCAACGAACATCACTTCGAGACCTCGCGGCTCCCTCGGAGGCTGCGAACTGCGCAACCGTCCCCACTTTCGTGGTTCCTTGGGAGGCACTGTGGAGGTGAGGGCAACGCAGACCACTTCGAGACCTCGCGGCTCCCTCAAGTGCTGCGAACTGTGCAACCGTCCCCACTTTCGTGGTCCCCTGGGAGGCACGGCGGAGGTGGGGGCAACGAACATCACTTCGAGACCTCGCGGCTCCCTCAAGTGCTGCGAACTGCGCAACCGTCCCCACTTTCGTGATGCCCCTGGGAGGCACGGCGGAGGTGAGGGCAGCGCAGACCACTTCGAGACCTCGCGGCTCCCTCGAGAGCTGCGAACTGCGCAACGGGCGCCACATTCGTGGGCTCCTGGGAGGCACGGCGGAGGTGATGGCGGCGCAAATCACTTTAAGACCTCGCGGCTTCCTCGGGAGCTGAGGACCGCGCAACTGCTGTCGCCTTTGTGGGATCTCGTGGGCGGCACGGCGGAAGGGGGGGAACATGCAGACCACTTCGAGGCCTCGCGGCTCCCCCGAGGGTTGCGGAGCGCGCAACTAATGCCGCTTTCGTGGGCTCCTGGGAGGCACGGCGGAGGTGAGGGTCACGCAGATCGCTTCGAGACCTCGCGGCTCCCCCGGGGGCTGCGAACTGCGCAATCGTCGCAATGTGGGCTCCTGGGAGGCACGGCGGATGTGGGGACAGCGCACGTCACTTCGAGACCCCGCGGCTCCCATCGGGGGCTACGAACTGCACAATTGTCGTCACTGTCGTGGGCCCCTGCGAGGCACGGCGAAGTCCACGGCAATGCAGATCGTGCATATCTCGCGATGCATTGTTGTATGGAACGCTGATGCAAATGGCCTCGCGTGGAGAAGGGGTTGGGCACGTCAAGGGCAATGTGTTTTGTTCACTGCGACCAGTTCTGCGTATCCTCAAGGGAGACGACGGAACGCAACACACATTATTCAGAGCAAGTGTCAACGTTGTACGAGACCAACTATTATGGTAATCTGTCGGACTATACACCTTACATAACTGCGTACCTGCTCGTTGTCTAGCAGCGGACTCCCCGACGAGCTCAGACTCTGACAACCGCTGGGTGAGAACAACGAGAAGAGCAGCCCCAGGCCTGCGGCCTGTGCATCGCGCGGCCTTCGGAGCTTTCGGGGCCTTCGAGAGGCCTCTTGAGGCGTTCTCTATCCGTGGTAGTGGGCTGGCAACTTTAATAACGATCACTCGAATAATGCGCCCGGCTCGACCTCGATTTGGGATCTCTTTCTCCTCACGCAAGTGAAACCAGGTGTCGGGATGCAGGGCAATGCAACGTCAAGCAGTGTAAATCATTGCTTACCATTGGTTGACGTTGCTTGGCACCATTGCTTAGCATTGCTTGGCGCTGGTGGGCATGGGCCAGTATTGGTTGGCATTGGTTGGAGTTGCTTTGCATTGCTTTGCATTGGTTGGAATTGCTTGGCATTGATTGTGATCATTGCTTGGCGTTACTTGGTGCCGCGTGGCCTTGCTTGGTGTTGCTTGGCATTGCTGGGCATTGAACGGGCAACCCTAGGCAGCCCAGATCAACGCCTCTGACGAAGGGAAGCCCTGGGCAACCCCGAGGAACCCCAGGCAACGCCACGGGCGAAGGATCCAAGCACCAGCAAAGCAAATTTCCCCCACCAACGAAAAAAAATCCCTTGCACAACGCCTGATTCGGGAATGGAGCGGTCTCTTCGCGGATCGTCGCCCGTGCATGCGTCGTCCGCGCTCCTAATCTTTCGCCTTTGGAATCGGTTGCCCAAAACGGAATCGGTGATTCCTGGACCGTGTCCCGTGTGTTCACGGTCAATGGTTGACAACTGGCTTGCCACTGTGGCATCAACCGTTGCAAACAAAATCAACAAATTTCTCGCGTCGCGTGGTCCATGTACAGTCATGGCACTACCAGAAGGAACGCTAAATGAGGAACGAACCACCTTTCTTCAACATCAAATCGTCCATTTCCAAGAAGCGGCCGGGCCCCTTTCTAGAGGCGTTCCCTCATCGTTACCTCTCGCTTTGGAAGCGACCCCTCACCTCCCAAGGAAGACCGAGGGGGCTTCCTGGCAAAATTGTGAGGGAACGCAAGCAAATCCAAGGAACCACCGACTCCCTTCCGAACCCGAACTGGACGTTATTTCAACGCCGTGACTGTGTCCGCGATCGTAGCCTCTCAACTTTGGAACCCGTTGTCGAGAATGGGCTCGGCTTTTGGGCGACTCTGGCCCGTTCATCCGTAGCCTGCGGGCCCGCCCTTCTGGAATTCTTGGCGGCCCGTGGCCTATGCATCCATGGTCTCCGGCCGTGGGCTTGCACCGGTGGTCGCAAACGCATGCAAAGACCGAGAAGGCAAAAGATCCCAGCAGCGCAAGCCAGCGCGAGAGGGCGTGAGATCCCACAGCTCCCACGTGCGCACAGCGGATCGCCTGGCTCTGCGGCCCCGGCTGGCGCAGACCCCTCAGCTGGCGCGTTCGGCTGAGGCGCTGCGCTTGACGCGGGGGGTCCCTGCCTGCATAATTTCCCTGGAACGACCCTTGCCGATTCGAGAGGCCACGGGGGTCACAAGCTGACTTTGCGCTCTGGCTGCGTCGGGGGGCGTTTCGAACCCCCCAGGACACCGCGGCTGACGGATCTGCCAACGGACTCGCGGCTCTTGGAGTATTCTCCAAACGGTGCTTGCACATAGGGGTTCTTACTTCTGGAATGAAAAACTGGGCCCTCGGGCCGCTCTTGCCGCCATGTCGCCGCCTGGGCCTGCGGGCCGTTCTGGTCGCCAGGCCCCCGCCATCGCCGCCTCGTCGCCGCCCGCACTGCATTGTTTCACACTGCGTGTGCGCAGCTGGCAACCCAACGCACCGTACTTTCATAGCGTGCACCACCGAAGCTGCACCGCGTGCGTGCCAAAATCCTTCACACATTTTGGGTTTCGCAAGGGTTTCAAAAACGAGTGCCCCGAACAACACGTAAACATACATGGTTGTGCAAAATCAATTTTCAAAAATGCCTGTGCTCGCGGTCTTGCGGATTTTCCGAGGAGCACCCAAACCTGTTCCAACATTTTCACCACATTCTGCCAAGCGGGCCTCTCGCGCGTGTGCGGGGGTGGGGGGGCGCGATCCGTGTCACATAAAACCACGCGGGCCACTCACGCGCGTCGGACGCGCGCGCATGTCGAACCCTTTCAAAAACCTTCATCGCCGACGCGAGGACCTCGTCATCGTTATCGACGGGCGTGATGAGCATCGGCGCCGTCATTGGCCTTGCCGTCGTTATCGCCACCGTCGTCACCATCATCGATACTCTCACAAGCGTGTCTTCCGATGTCGGCGTCGCCATGATACTGCGCCCGCCCAAGTCACCGATTCGCACCGAAGTGTCCGCTGGGGAGTGCTTTGCGGTCAACGCCACCGCGGTTGCGCTGGTCGGGCCAATCTAGCTTTAGGTCGGGCGTGTCCTCTTGCAAGCGGATTTTGGAAGAAACATGGAAGCGAGTAGAACACACTTAAGCACACCTATTCAAAGAGCACAACACATCGTCCCAAGAGTATGTTTCAGTATTCCTGACTACGCTTCCTGTAGAAGGGGCGCGCGTGGCTTAAAACTACCTGGCCGCTGTACGCGCGAGCATGCGCGGGCCTGCGCGACGCGGATATGCACCAACCAACGCCAAACACTCATCAATCGCCACCGCAAACCAAGTTGCGGGTGGGTGGGCAGGCTGTTTGCAAGAGCGTGTTTGCCAACTCGCTTGTGCAACCACGTCGAGTGTACCAGATCAATTGCGTCACGTTAATTACACCGCGTAGCCCACACCACAGACACGGTCTTAACATGTATTGCACCAGGCGGCTTGCAACACACATTTTCATATACATATCTGTATATGTATAGACTTATGTGTCTGGACATGTATATGGTGTGCATGTAAATGTGTATACGTATATAAGAATACAAATATTGTGCGACGCAGGTTTTGCCACACATGCTGCACCAACCAAGCTGCACCACACAATTTGCGCCACCTGTGCTAAACCTCGGCGGCATAACATATATTTACGAAGAATAGGTTGCACCACGCACACACACACATATGTATATATATATGCATTTATTTATTTATTTATACATATGTATATATATATATATCACTTCCAGAAGAGCATTCAGATCTACCCCTCCCCCCCGGCCTTAACGGGTCCGCTTTCGCGTATTGCAACTGAAATACGGTTCTGCCCTATCTCCCATCGTAGATCTGAAGTCGTATCGTCCAAGCCAAGCTGGTAATAACGCCTTTTCGCAAAACAATTTATGCGCGCGCGCCCGACTATGAACAATCATCAACATTCAAATATTCCACGAAATAAATGACGGGAACACCGGGTCGCGTCGTCGCGCGCCGACATCCTCCAAAACCCTAGGTTTCGTGAGGAATTCAAAATCAGGTGCCCCAGCAACATATACAACAAACATGGTTGTGCCATAGCGAGAGCAAAACGCTGCGCTCGCGTTGATATAATGTTTTTTTTGCATAACAAAGACCATCCGGTTTTCAAAAATTGCACCACATGCTACCAAATGTACCTCTCGCGCGCGCATATCGAAATCGCTCGAACGTCTTTGCGCGCGTGTTGTCGCAAGAAGCCTTTTGCAACAAATGGCACGATGTGCACACGCGCGCGTCGTTGCGCACGCATGCGAAAATCCTTTTAACAAACGTTTTGGTTCGTCGGGGGTTCAAAATCGAGTGTCCCGGAACACATCAAAGAAACATGGCTTCCCAACACCAGTTTTCAAACATTTCAGCGCTCGAGCTCCTGTGAGTTCGTGGGGGAACCATGGGTTGTTCAACGTTTCGTTCAATTCTGCCAAATGGGCCTCTCGCGCCGCATGTCGGAACCATTCGAACGCCCTTGCGCGCGCGCTGGGGGGGGGCACGGTCCGCATCAAATGATGTCACTCTCGCGCGTCGGCCGCGCGCGCATGTCGAGCTCCTTCCGCAAACTTTTTCACCGAAACGAAGACTCCGTCATCGTCGTCAGCGTGATCAGCATCGGCACCGTCACTGGCAGTGCCGTCGTTGCTGTCATCATCGCCACCAGCATCGCTACTATCATCATCGTGTCTACTGTTGCAGACGTTGCCATGATACTGCGCCCGCCCAAGTCGCCGACTCGCATTGCTGAGCTCGGTGGGAAATGCCAAGTGGTCAGCGCCACCGCGGCCGCGTCGGTCGCGCCGAACTAGCTGGCCGCTGTGCGCGCGAGCATGTGCGGGCTTGCGCGGCCGCAAATATGCACCAACCAACGCCAAGCACTCATCGCAACCGCCGCCGACTGGATTTTGCAAACAAAATTGCGGGTGGGTGGGTGGGATGGTTGCGCGAGCTGTGGAGTTGACAACTTCAAGTTCGCACAAATATTGCACCACATAATATGCTTGAACGCGCTGCTTGGGGTCCACACTGGCAAATGTTTATTGTATTATCCGCGATAACGCTCGTGACTGGCCCCGCACCCTCCCCCTCCCCCCTTCTGGTCACGTCACGATTCAACGCCGTTTTTGAATACACTATTCCTGAACATTCCCAGGCGGCGCCGGTTAAAAAGCAGGCCCCGTCCCCCCTTCCCCTTTCGCCCGGTCACGTCCGTCAACAAAGGGCAAGAAAAGAAACAACAACTTTCAGAGGTCCAGCGCCGATCCGAGGCATCCGCGCAGACCTCCGAAACAAATTGCTGTTTTTGGAACGATTTGCCGCACGAGTAAAAAAACTAGCTGCCTGGCTCTTGCGGGGGGCTGGGCAAGAAGGGGAAACCTCGCGCTGGCAGGAGAGCCCAGAATCGAATCGATAAATCGAATCGGCGATCAAAATTAATCGTATCGGCGGACATCGACAGACAAGTCGGGAGGAGTCGAATCGGCGGAAACCGGTAGAGCAGTAAGGCCTAATTGAGAAATCGGAATCCAAATCGGAAGCCGAAATCGAATCGAATCGGAATCGGAAACCATCGAAATCTAATCGAATCGAATCGGAGGAATCAAAACGATCCCTGGGCAGGGGACCTGTGCATATCCACCGATGCGGAGCCTTGCCCCCGAGGATCTCGCGGAACGTCAGAGATCTAAGCTTGGCCTCTTCTTGCCGTCCAGCGGCGGGGAGGCTTCGAGTTCTTTTGGGGGCACGTCTCCAGAGATCAACAGCCATGGACAAATCTCCGGCGTGAGGAGGGAGGTCCACGTTCCACTCCGCACGAGGGCTGCGGGGCGACAGATTCCAAACCGCCGTGACCAGGATGAGCGGGAACAAGGGGTCGGGCCAGGGCAATTCGACGCTGCGACCGTCCTGTTCAATGCTGCCCCCTGGCCCGTCTGAGCTTCTGGTTTGGCCTTGCGAGCAGCCGAACGGGCCCGGCGGGCCCTGGCAAGGCGACAGAAAACCAGCTAGGAGCGAGACAACTCTAATTCGCCTGCGTTTCAAAGGCGCCTTGGCCCCGACTGGATCTACTGTTCTTTCTCGCCCCTCTCCCTTCCCTCAACGGGCCAGGGGCAGCACGGGTCCTGGTCGACGGTGTAGAGATCGCCCTGTGGATCGTCATTTCGCCTCGAGCCTGCGGAAGTCTCCTGCAGGAATAGCAGGCCCTCCACCATGGCCCGCAGCTCCTTGACGGGCTCGATGCTCAAGCCCATGGCGTTCAAGAACAAGGGCGGATACTTACACGCGCCGCCGCCAGAGACGTGCACGCGGCCCAATCGTGACGGCTGCTTTCCAACAACGGTCTGGCCGAAGTCCGACTCAATGAGGCTCTGGAGTATCCGCCACCGTGCCGCAAGCACTGAGTAGAGTGTCACCAGTGTCCTTCGAGTCATCACCATTCATTGATAGGGTAATCCTCTTTACGTGCGCCGTCGTCCCAAATTTCAGGGTCAAGCGCTCTCGGACAGTCTCGCGGTTCGTTGCGAGATATTCCAAGAGCCATTGGAAGCGAGGCTGGGAATCGTATATCACTTCCAACATTCGCCAAGATGTGTCCTGGAGCCCATCGCGGTGCAATCGTGGGAAGCTCCTGGGTCTCAACGCGCTCAAATAAATTAAGATAAGTCAACGCGGGAATGATATACTGTATTTTTCTGTGAGATGATAAACAAACAGAAGTCGGCAAATATACACAAACTCAGCGCCAAGATAACAATAATGCCAAAGAACACCCACCAAAACTTAACAACGAAATAAACAACAACATTATAGACACCAACCACAAAACGACAAACCAAACCGCTAAGATAACAACGACGCGAAATACATCAACAAACAAAGCTGAGAGATCTGGACGTGGGTGACACACTCAGTAATGAACGCATGCTGCAAGAACAGCGAGATCAGGCACACCATCGCAACACGAAACGCTGAGACAATTATAAAACAAGCGACAACAACTGAGAAACAACAGTTTTCAGAGAGCAGTGAAACCAGCAACACCTTGCAACAATGAAAACAACACGTTCGAGGAATAACAACCGACCAAAGGAGTGAGAGGGAAACGAGGCCAAGCACGTCAACCAAACATGATGACAACACTATTGAAAACATAATCGACACACCATAAACAATCATATGTATGAAACTGGCAGAACAAATCGGAGAAACGGGCAACAACAAAAACGAACAAATAATAGCGATGCCCAAAATAGCACTCCCTCCCCCAGCAAGCCAAACGAAACTGGCTCAAACGAACAAAAACGCCAGGAAACCAACGAGGCCCAACACACCCAACAACAGTGAAACAACAAGAAACGCTCAGGCAATAACAAACGACCGAGAGAGAGTGAGAGAGTAGCGACGCCAAATACAGAAACTAAACCATGATTAAGAAAACGTATGGTTCGACAGAATTGTAAGATCATTTCTTAGGAATTCAAAATTGCGCCAAAATAATGGGATTCCTATTCGGGCGTCTCCGTGCCGATTCGCTTTCCGTGCTCATACCGTCCGTGCTCAGATTGCCGATTCCGGCGCGACAATGCTCGAATTCCAAATTTGTAGCGTCTCTGTGCTTAAATTGTCCGTGCTCAAATTGTAAATTCGTTTTTTTCTCTGTTCATACTATCGATTTAGACGGTTCTTGCCCCAATTGCCAATTCACACGTTTTTATTATCAAATTGACGGCACGGGCGTCGCTGTGCTCAAATTGCCAACTTGGGCGCTTCCGTGCTATAAGATCACAGAATCGGGAATTCTCTTGATCTAATTTCCGATTCGGGCGTCTCCGTGTTCAAATTGCTCATCCTGGCGTTTCAATGTTCAAATTGCCAATTCGGACGCTTCCGTGCTAAGATTACCGATGCGGGCGTTCCGGTGCTCAAGCGGTCTGTCCGAAACAGAAATTGTGTGTTCGGAACGTTACATTTATGATGTGTCGATAATGCTTCATTCTCGCATGTTCGCCGTGCGAATCTGTAGCCTACTATGAATATTACGATTCGTGTCGCCCCGTGTCTGGCAGAACTGAAAGAACACATGCGTTCGGCGCGTTGCCTTTTCAATGTACGCTTTGTCATTGTGCATTGTGATTGTTAGGCTTTCCTCTGTGTGCCTTGACGAATGGTTTCGGTCTCCAAAACTCATAATCTGCGCATGATTCAGAAAGAAGCATGGACATCTGATTTCTCATCATATCGTCTTTGATTAATATCCTGTGGAATTCAATCGATTGCATTCGGACTTGTTTCAATTGCGGTCGGAATTTCGTCACTTGGGTTTGACTGTCAGTTAAGTGCACCGACGTTGGATTGGTATCATTCGGATTTCGATCAATTGTATTCGAAGCAGGTACACTTGCACTCGATTCAGTCAATTCCCTTCGGGAATGAATCAATTGCTTTCGAAGTTCAGCCATCTGCGCTCGGGGTTGAGTCAACTGCATTGGTGATTCAGACACTTGCATTCGAAATTGTGTGAGATACACTCAGGTTGACTCAAATGCAGTCGGGGTTGAATAAATTGGATTCGGTGTTATGTAAATTGCATTGCTGAACGAATCAATTGCGCTCGAGGGTGAGTCAACTGCTCACGGAATTCCATCTATCCCATTCAAGATTTAGCAAATATCACTCGGAATTTAATCAATTGCAGTTTGAATACCGTCAATTGAATCTAGGAATTTGTGAATTAGTTTGGAAATAAAATTATTCGCACTCGTGATTCAGTCAATTGCACCCGGAAGCGAGCTAACTGCACTCACATTTTGGTGAATTGCAATCGAGATAGAATCATATGCACTCGGGATTCGGTGAATTAGTTGCCCTCGGTGAAACGTCAACAACTTCCAGAATTTAGTAACGCTCGGGATTGAGCCAATTTCATGGGTGATTAAACCAATTCAATTCGGAATTGAATAAACTACGCTCGGAATCGAGTCAGTCGCACTCGGGATTGAATCAATCGCACTAGGAGTTCAATCAATTACATTGGTGATAGAGTCAATTGCACTCGGAGATGAATCAGCTGCAACCATATTTCATATCTGAATTAAGTCCATTCAAGATTTAACTAAATGTATTAGAAGTGGACCAACTTTGCCCGGGTTGTTCCGGTGTTGAGCTCACAAATGCGCCCACGTCATATCGCACTGCTGGATGCGGCAAGGCCTCCTATTGTAGTTAGGCTGCTAGAATTACGCAATCAACGATAACCATAATTTTGGACCCCGCCATACCCGTCGGTCGGAAGAAGTAGGTAGAAGCATGACGTAGGAAGGCGGATAAAGTAGATTGGAATCAGACACAACTCAGCAAACACATATCGATTCTTGAAGTAGGACGGCGCATAAAATAGATTGGGATCTGGTATCCGAAAATACCTACTTTCAAAGACCGGCGTGTGCAATTGCAACGACGCGCGACCGCGCTTTTGGTGTAGCTGCCCCTTCTGGGCACCAGGACCTGCGAATCGAGGTCCAGAAGACGTTCCACAATTGAGTTCCTGGTGATTTTACAGGTCCTGGGTACCCCTGCAGCTCATTTTCGGTCAAGGGCACCCATTTTCAGAAACACGATATGAAGAAGTAGTAAGCGCATATCCGCCGACCTCTTGTGGGTCTCTAGGAGTGCGAGATTATCCCCCCCGTAATCCCCCCCAGGGACCCCAAACGGGCAATTTGACCCCCCCCCCCCTGGCCCGGCGCGACCCCGGACTGAACGCGTCATGGGGGAGCGGAGGGCTCCAAAACGGGCCAAGAAGGTACCAAAACGCTCCCCAGACTTTCCCAAAGGGCCACGAGTCGCCGAAATAGCGCTCCTTGACGCCCACGATGACCTCCAGACGGCCTCCGAAGCTGCCAAGACGCCCAAAAAGGCCCCCAAGATGCGTCCCAAGAGGGTCACAAAAAACAAAAACCGTCCCATTCTCTTCGACCAAAAAACTGTTTCGGATACTCGCGTTTTCGGCTTTCACAACGCCCCAGACGGGCAAAGAAACCTTCAATATCGCCCCCGAACGGCCACAGGGCCCCGAAGAGGAGCCGAAGAGGATCCAAAAACAGCCCACGAAGACCCACAGACAGCCCAAGAGGGCCCCCAGACGGCTCCAAGAGGGAGTCCATAGGGCACCTTTCCGAGCCGTCGGCCCCAAGACGCCCCCAGCCTGCCCCAAGAACACCTCAAGAGGCCCTGAGGGACCCCCAAGAGAACCTCAGAGGCCTCCAAGAAGCCCCCAGGAAGCCCCCAAGAAGCCCCAACACTTGGCCCAAGATGCCTCGAGGCGGCCGGATGTGGCCTGCAGACAGGCCAAGATGCCACCAAAAGGCCACAAAAGAGCACCAACAGGTACGATAACAGCAACGAAGCAACAGGAACGATGTCGAGCGCCGTGCCATGATTCGGACAAGCCTCGTCGTGAAATGCAGTCCGATCCTGGAGGCGCAGTAGTTTATATAGGGGTCGGCGGATGTGGCGTAAGCCAATCGAATGCTGAACGATTTCCCTTTGAATCTCAGACGTTCTGCCTGGCAACGGCTGCCGTCTCCAGGTTTCGGCGTGCGACTCAGGTTCGACCTGGGATTCTTGAGATCGGGCCCAGACTCGGGTTCGACTCGGGTTCGAACTCAGCCTTGAACTGGAGCTTGGGTCGGGCTCAGACTCAGGCTTCTGCTCGGGATTCGGCTGGGGTCCCAGCTCGGACCGAAGCTCGGACTCGAACTCGGGCGTGGGCTCCGGTTCCATGGGAAGGCTATGGGGCGCCCCAGGAGGGCACTGGGAGCGCCCAAGAGCGCCCTGGGAACGCCCTCGAAGTGGCCCTGGCAATTGCACCGGGAGCGCCCTGAAAGCCCTGGTGAGGCCCTGGGAAAGCCGTGGGGACGCCCTGGGAGGGCACTGGCAGCGCCCTGGGAAGGCCCGCCCTAGGGGCGTCCTGGAAGGGCACAGTTTTTTTTATTTAAAACAAACATCAATAGACTAAAAAAAACACGTATAGAGATAAATGAACAACACAATACACACACTGATGAACACATACACTGATACATCCATAAATCAATCCATCCATCCATTCATTCATACATATAAAGATGCATACATACACACAAACATACATACACGCATACATACATACAACATACACATGTGCATGCATAGAAGCATGCATGCATATGTATATATATATATATAGATACATGCGTGTATGCGTGTGTACATGCATACATACATACAGGCATGCATGTATGCATACATCGGAGGTTGGGGGGTGAGATCGCAAGGAAACGGAGACCCCCCACCGGGAAATCGGTTTCGGTTTCGTGTTCGTGCCG